TGTCTAGGAAGTGTATATCGATAAACGAGGAACAGAGCTTCCGAATTCATTGTGGTCGATCGTCGAAGCTGATCTTGAAAATGGCTCGCCACTATTTTTCCTCGTTCCACGTTTTCCATTAAAAATAATTGTCCATCGTCCTCGTTGAGAGGGCACGAACCACCGATGGACAAATATTTCTCGTCCACGCCTGTATCGTAACGGGGACATGAACGAGGGGGAGGCGAAGGGGACAGAGTCACGGGACATGCTGCAGTGAAAGTGTTGTCGAAGGAGGAAGAAGGAAAGGTGGCTCCCTCTTCGTTAACGACGTCGATGCGCGTTCAGCGAAAGAGGCGAAGTGAAAAATCGTCGAGGTTCGCGGAAATCGAGAAACAAATATGTACATGGTGTCTCGTTTTACAATAGAAATCCTTCAACTTTTGATAGAAACTGTATAGAGAATATTTAACATAACCTATAATATATTGCCAAAGGTTACTCGTACCTTTTAATTTTATAAAAAAATTTTTTGGAAAACTTCTATTTGAGGATTAAAGATAATAGATTAGTTAATCTAATATTTTGTTGTTGGAGTTTGTTTATTTGTACAAAGGCTCGAGAAACAAATATGTACATGGTGTTTCTCGTTTTACAATAGAAATTTATATTTTTATTCATTTTTGACAGAAATTATATAGAGAATTTATATTCGTAGTGTAACATAACCTATAATTTAATTTTGTAAAAAAAAATTCTTGAAATTTTTGGAAAACTTTAATTCGAGGGTTAAAAACAGTATATTGGTTAATTTAGTATTTTGTTGTTGGAGTTTTTATATTTATATTTTAAAGAAACTAAGAAAAGTTATTCGACAAATATTAATTTGATACTAATTAGGATTATTAGCCAAAGAGGAGGCAACAAATTAGGAAAGCATTTAATTTGAATTACACGTAGTTTACGTAGTTTACATGTATCGTAGGAGCTCAAGAAAGCGAAACAATTCTGTCTTGTTATCTTTCTCGAAAATCTATTCTTACGAAAAATGAGATACATCAAGATCTTCCTTCACGATTCCCTACAAATTTTCACGTAACGTTTAAATAAGACTTCGTTATGTCTTTCGAACACGTTGAGCAATAATTTTCGAAGATGTACAATTTTCTTGTAAATGATTTACCAGGAAATGTTATTTACGCTACTCTATCATTTCGTTCCTTTCGAAAAACGATATTTTACATCGATAAAATACATTCGAACACATTTATAAATGATAAATAGAGTAATATAATATCGGTGTAACAATTCATTTGAAAAAATCGTTTCCAAGAACTTAATTTTTCTCAAAATGAATCTGCATCCTTAATTATCAACCTATCCATAAAATTTAATTTATTTATTTTTATACTTTCATATAGAATTTTTATTTTTAAATATTTAATAGCTAAAAATTCGAATTATTCTTTCGAATGAATTCTCAATTATTCTCAATTATTAATCCTCGCCATTAATTTATATTTCGTCAATGGATTATAACCACAACGATTTTAACCACGGTTCGAGCTTTCACTCGCAAAAATAACTCTCGAACGATTAAAACGCGAGAATCCATTCTCACCCTGACACGACGTAACAATCGTAGACTCATCTTAAAAAGTTATTCTCACGAAGTACGAAAGGGGGAAGAGTGAACGGTGCAAAGCAACATCGTTGGACGATCCTTTCGTCCGATCGCACGATGACAATTACGACATTCTGATCGTCGTAAATTCTTCTGTTCCTTGTCTCTTGGAATTTCTTTTTCCAACCCCCTCCAACACCTCGATCTGCCAATGCGTCTCATCACCTCTCCATATGCTCCACCATTCGTATATATATATATATATCTCTCCCTCATTACGCGTGAAAATGAAAAAAAATGCGAGGAACAATGGACGAAGTGGAGATAATGGAGAGAGAAAGAGAGAGAGAGAGAGAGAAATCATAATGCACTCGCGTGACGAACTGAAGGCTTGGTATCGTGGCATATGGTGAACGTTGAGTGAAAATACTCTGATACTCGGATACCAGAGATTTTATTATTTGAATCTGAAAAATCTCGTTCTAATCCTCTTAATTTGTATTTGTTCCTGATGGAAGACTAATTTCACTTTTCAGTGCATTTTTCTTATCCCCATCTTTGGCCAACGCTACCCAAATATTAATAATCTAGAACTTGAAATTTACTTGTTAGGTTTTATTTTACCTAGTAAACTAGATTTAGAATTTAGAATATCAGAATATTAAGATTTATGTAGATAAGATTTATAAACTCTGCTAATAGGACTCATAGTTTTGAACTCCATTAATGAAATCTGTTTATCGATCCAACTTCCTCAATTCCTTTTCTCACAACCCTTTACATTCATTTTGCAGGAACGAAAAGTTGCATTTTCGATTCGACCACAGAATCCGCGTTCACGAGAATGAAACCGCGGGGAATGGTCATCGAGGCGAGATTAAATCCGTTTGAAAAGTGAACCCGCCGCAATATCCACTGCCTTCCTTCCGCGTGGTGCTTTCGCCGTCGTTCCAACTTCCCACCGGTTCCCACTCGTTCGCTTTTTCTTACCATGCGACGCTAAGCTTATTATCCTTTCATCCTTGTCCTCTTCCATCTATCTCCACCGTAAACGTATCCCACGTGACCACCGTCTTACCGCTTTCTCTCTCTCTCTCTCTCGATCGATCTAACGACTCGCACGCACCCGGAGATCCTTCTCCTCCTGCGCTTATCCTCTTCGTCTCTTCTCGTTGTCCTTCTCTGAACCATTCTTCTTCTTCTTCTTTTTCTTCAGGAATCGTAGCTTCTTTCTCGTTTCAATCAAGTCCTCCTCCTCGTGCATCCACGTAACCGAAGGAGGACCATAGTCCTCGCTCTTGCACAGCCTTCTCTTATCCTTCTGAATTGTTCTCACTCTGTGAACAGGGCCTGCCGTAAGACTCTCCTTCTTTTCACGTGACCGAGGTGACTCGCTTTCTCGCTCGGCCCCGCTATCCCTCTGTCTTCCTCTTTCCTGCTCGAACTCGTGACTCGTCGGTGTTCGGCCGGTGCCTCTCGCGGCACCTCTCGCTTTCACTCGTCCGTGTGAAGAGGCTATCGCGGGCCCTGAGAGCTCAGTATCCGCCGGACCGTCGCGTGGTTCGATGTCGTGCACGCGCCACGACCGGTGCCTCGTTTCAGGATAGAAAGAAAGTGTTTTTTTTTTTCGCCCTTTTTTTCTATTTTTCTCTTTCCACGAGTTGTTGTTGTTTCGCAGCCGTTCGAGATATATCGTATTTCACTGTTTTCGGGCCGGCCAGATCTCTCTGTGGACACGCGTGACCTTTGTAAAAATAGTGATTCGTTCCTTCCTTTCGAGAGTAGATAGAGAAGGAGAAAGATCTCTGGCCTAGGGTTTCTCTCGTGTTGCATCAACGTCGAACATGGGGAGACTCGATTCGTTCAGGTAAGGATTTTTGCGATTATTTTTACTTGGCAAATTCGCCAGGATTCTCGAGAGTAGGTCAGGGGTTAGAGTCGTTATTTTTTTGGGAAATCTTTGAATTCTGATGGAATTAAATTTAATTTCGTCAAATATAGTTTCGTTTAGTTTTATTCATGAGCACTTTACTCGTTGTATTAGTAAAGAGTATAAGAAATCGATCAAGATCAATTTTGATTTTAGTTTCAATTTTTAAAAATAACGATCGTTTATGTGGCATATAATTTTTCAATTGATAATTTGAGTTGTCCAGATATAACTATATATACTATGATTTTTGATAGCTAGATAACTTATTACTAGAATTTTAAGGTAAAATTTAAAAATGGATGGGGTTAAAAATTTATTTGTAATTTGTATCTCAATTTGAATCAATTTCGATCAAAATGATAGATTTATTTTCACATAATTTGTAACGAACGAATCAAACAATATTATCTTAAGAAATATTTTCCTCGAGTAATTAGTTCGAAAAAATAATTGAAAAGTACATCGATATTTTGTGTGACCTCCTTTTGCCGATCTCAACATCAGCAGATCTTTTGAGAAAGTCGTTGAATAACTTTTTAATAAACTCGTCTGACATTTTCTATCATTTTCTCTTCGATATTTCACGTAGCCGATTTCCATTTTTTGACTTTCTTCTCTTTCCCGTTCTCATTTAAATAATTTTGTTTCGCGTTTTACCACGATTTTACACTTTCGTTAATTAAACCGATATTTTTACAACTTTTATAAAAATTGTTCGTAACAAAAAAGTTAAAACTCGAGAGATTTCTCGAGTGTTTCGAAATTTTATTGGATGCTTATATATATATATATATATATATATATATATATATAT